AAAACTAATAAAATGCAAATTGATTTTTTGGATAACAAATACCAACAAAAAAATAATATTTTATTTCAAAAAAATTAAAATATTTTTTTTTTAAATAATTATTTTTTTAAAAAAATACCTTATAATCTGTTTGTTTCCATTTGAATACAGCATTGACTTCATCGACATCGGACTCGTTTAGGGTACTGACCGACAGCGAGACAATAATTACAGTCGAAACCAGCGATAGGATACAGAAGCCAAATAGAAACCACTTTAGATATCTATATCTACTGTTCCTCTTATAGATATCGTTACCCATTATTATTATTATTATTATTATTATTGAATTTTTTTTGTTAGATTATTATATAAGTATATATATATATATATATTTATTAATTTATTTTTAATTTTAAAATTATTTACTTTATTATAATGTCACACATATTATATAACATAATAATATATTATTAACTGTATTATATAACTTGTTTACTATTATTTACTATTTATTATAATTATTATAATTATTGCAAACACAGTTAATTAAAATACATTATTAATATTTTTTATTATATAATAATTTTAAAATATTTATTAATTAAATATATTATATTTAGTATGTAGTTTATTACAATAAACAATTGAATTTTATAAAATAACTTATATTTTATAATTTAGTAAATAATTAATAAAACTTTTAAAATGTTATACATATTAACTTATTATTTTTTTTAAATAATAAAAAATAAATTATTTAAACGTAAATATAAAGTTTCATATTATAATCATAAATGTTAAATAACTTACAGTATAGCTTATAGTTAATTAAAGTAACAAAAATATTAAAAACATAAAAAAATATTTAATATCTAACTAACAAACCAATTAACGTTAGTTTATTTTGCAAAAATTAAATCAATTAAGATAACAATAATAATATATAATAACTACAATAGTTAATAAAAATAACATATATAATAAAATAATAATAATAATAATAACGATTACTATTGGCAACAAATCCTACAATTATTTATACAGTACTTAACATTTAACAAAAAAATGGCATTAAATAAAATAATAATAATAATAATAATAATAATTTTATTAACAATTATTAACAATTTTATTATTATTATTATCTCATATGATATATAATATAATTTATATGATATACACTATATATTATAAAGTACCTTTTGTTAAATTAAACTAACTATTGTAATAAAATATACAATTTATTAATAAATTTTTTATATATATTTTTATTATTAGTGATAAATGTATTGTACTGTACTATACACGTGCCTAAAAAAATTGATTAATTAATAATTTTTATGAGTATTATAAAATTATTAGGTAATATTAAGATTTATTTTTTTACAAAATTATTTTTTTACAAAATTATTTTTTTACAAAATTATTTTTTTTGCATTTTAATACAGTTTTAAAACTAATATAATTTGTATGATATTGCATGATAAAAATATTATAAAAATTGTATTGATTATATATAATTAATTAGAAAAATAAATAAATCAGAAAAAATAGATACTAAACAAATCAATTAAAATATTTATCAGTTATTTTTATATATTGTTAATTAAAACAAAATACATTATATACTGTATTATATAAAATTAGTTATAAATTTTGTTGATAATAATTTTTTATACATTTATTAATTTATTACATAAATTATTAATAATCAATTAAAATTATTATCTCAATATTATTTAATATTATTATCAAAAAAATTTTTAAAAAAACACTTTTATATTGTAATTATTATTATTATGATTTATTGTTAGTGTTAAACATTATAAATTTTGTAATATTATAATAATATATATATATATATATAAGTAATAATTATTGTTATAAAAAAAATATTAAAACGATAAAATATATACATAGACATAATAAATAATCATGCACATTTACACGTGTTCAAATACATCATATATAAAATATGTGCATGATAAATAATTATCTATATAATTTTATATATATATTTATTTACAACTAACTATAACTATACAACAAAAATTATCTAGTTTATTTATTTTATGATTTTACAGTATCATCATTATTATTATCATTATTATTATTATACTTGGATAGGATAGGCATAATATTTGGTACATATATAAAACTAATTGGTTGGCTATTATTATTATTATTATTATTATTATAGGCACCGCCACTGCCTACCTGTGCTGCCGGCGAAAAATTAAATACCGGTTCTCTATCTATTGGCATACCGTTTGGTCCAACATTATTGGCTATAGTTAGCCGATCATCAAGCGGACAGTTGACTCCAGTAGTGTTAGTAGTAGTAGTAGTAGTGATACCCAACAGTAGATGCTGTTGGCGTAGCCGTCGGGCAAACAACAGTGCCGTCAGACAGCATATCGTATAGATAACTGTTTGAACCCAATTGGCCGGATAGTGGGACTCCAGTGCCGCCCCTATACTGACCAATGCAATCAACGATACGATCAAACCGTAACCGATTGTCGAGTAGTAGTGTTGGCGATAGGCTGACCATAAACCCCATAATTGTGTGAATATAGCGATTACAGTGATAGTTATGACAAAATTTTTGGCTCTTATCTATTTATTAATCAAAATTGATTTATTTAATTAAAAATTTATTTAATTAATTTATAAATATTTTTTATTAAAAAAAATACTGTATTACCGCACAATTATCGGTACATATTGTTATTATAAACAATATTAAACTTAACTATATTTTTTTAATAACTTGGTTTTATTTTTATTTTTAAAATTATTAACTTAATGGTTAATATTTATTAGTAAATTACTTGATTTTTTTCAGATTAAAAACAAAATCTAATCTATAATTTATAAATAACAATATATATTGCTATAAAAGATATATTGAATTTTTAATTTTAAAAAAATAGTTTTAATTCTATAGACATTTAATTAATTGGTACTTTAAACTATTTTAAAAATTAATTTAAAAAATAAAAAAAACAATTATAACATTTAGTGCCTTTTAATTTTGCGGTAATACGGTATCACATTTTTTTAAAAAATATTTTTTTTAATAATTACAATATTATCCCTTTGGCTAACTTGAAATGTACCAGGTTGATTGTTGTTGTTGTTGACATAACTGTCCAAATATGTATTGAAATGTTGTACAGATAGACATACAATAATTATATCGATAACTGCGCTCAACAAACATAACACTATTAATGAATATTTTAGTTTTTTAACAAAATTTTTATTCACAATAACACTATTCAAGTCATTAATATACATATTATTAATTAAGTATTAATTTATTTAATTTTTTTTTACAAATTTTTTTTATTAAAATATTGAAAGTATAAATTTTGAGCTCATAACAACAAAAATTATCAACGTCAATTAAATATTATTTTTATTATTATTTTGTTGTCGTTGTAGTATTAAAATAAAAAGTTGAATCATAAAAAAATAATTATTTACTATATATTTATTATGTTATCATTTTGTAATTTTTTATATGTAATTTTTTTTTATCTTAAATACTGTATTTTAAAAAATATGATTTTTTTGTTGTTGCTGTTGAAAATAAATTGTTTAAAAAAAAACAATTATACAGTAGTGTACATTTATTATCGCATAGTTAAGTTAGTAATATCTGTATAATACACTAATATTATTAATAATTAATTTAATTGCGATGCTGGGGGTGCTAGGTTATATAATGTATTAAAAATGTAAGTGTGTATATATATAATATACTATATGTGTGTGTGTATATGTGTTTGTATGTATGTATGTATATATATATATATATATATATATAATATACTATATACAGTATGTGTGTGTGTATGTACAGTATGTATGCGTGTGTGTGTATGTATTCGTGTGTCATCATATAAATATAGATATATATATATATATATATATGTGTGTGTGTGTGTGTATATATGTATATATAAAATTGATAAATCAGATTATTTACAACAATAGACTAAAATGTTTATTTAATGAATCACATTGTTAGTATAATATACAATATATATACAGTATATATATATAGTTTATTTGTGATAAAATATAATAATATATATATATATATATATAAAAAAGTACAGAAAAATAATAATTTAGCTAAATAAAAACATATTTATTTATTTATCAATTAGGTATTATGTACTGTATTGTTATCTATTGATTTCTAATCTATTATAGTTACAGTAATAAAATACAGTAAATTATAATTATTATAGTAATAGCATATTATTTTCACAATTATTTTGTAAGTTTTTTATTCAATTAATACAAAACAAATAAGACTTTTGTAGTTGTTTTTCAATACAATAGATATTATTATTATTTATTATTATTGAGTTTACTATCGATTAAAATGTCATAAATAGATATTCAAACAACAAAAAAAACATATAAAATATTAATAATAATGTTTATAAATTATTTTTAATATATAAAAAACATATATTTATCAATAAAATTATTATTTATTTAATTAATCTAATAATATAAAAGTTATTAATTTTAAATAGCATATCATATTTTTTTATTTTTAATATTGATTACTTAAATATTAAAATTATTATTATTATTATTATTACAGCACATATTTTTAAAAAATAAATTAATAGATAAATAAAAAATAATTAATAGATAAATTATTAATTATTTTTTTTAAAACTATTAATTTAATAAAAATAATATAAAAAACTTACAAATAAATACATATATAAAAAATGTCTAAAATAACTTTTTGTTTTTTTTTCAATCACATTGAATATATATATATATATATTTTTTTTTAAACTACTAAATAAACAAAATTAATATAATATAATAGTTAAACTTTTTTTTTTAAAAAAAAAGAAAAATCAATTGACAAAAAAATATTAACTATATATAAAAAAATAAAAATACTAAAAACTTTTTTTTAAAAACTTTTTTGATTTATTTTAGTTTATGTTATTTTTATTCATTTTACACATTCAACGGATGTATGGATGGTATACTCGTATTCAATGCCTCCCTGATTGGTGTCGATAATGATCCCGGGTATCCAAACTTACGGGTATACTACCACTAGTACTACCACTACTACTACTGGCCATAACTTGTGACTCGGCATACGATGGCGGTTCCTCTGCTACTACTACTTCATCGGCGGCGCCCATACCTTGTAGTTGTTGCTGGTATTGATGTCCAGGTTCAGGAAATACTACTGTTTTCTCGTACTGATACAACTGTCCACTGTTTGTTTGTAGTGGCAATGGTGATGATGCCGGTACCGGTGCCGCATATACTGTTTGATTGGTATAACCGATTGGGTACTGTTGTTGTTGATGACCAACACCACCCGGTGCTAAATATGGTTGACTGAGTACAGTCTCGGCCATCACTACGGCTGCCGAGTTGGTAGTAGTAGTAGTAGTGTCCAAACGTTGGCCAAACTGTACGGGTATACTAAGCTGATGATTGCGCAATCGGCGCAATATACGTGCAAATATCAGGGCATTGACCGTACAAACTAAATACAGTACCGATAGTAACCAATCGATACCGAAATCGGTCCAAAAACACGATAGTATACTCAATGGAAATAGTATAATAAGTGTTATACCATAGACAAGGCATGTAAAATAATGTTCCCTATAGGCACCCAACTGGCCAATCAATTGTATAAGTATTGCCGATATACCGACACCCAGTGCCAGATTGCGTACCTTTTCCTATATATTTTGTGGAAATAAATTTAATAACAAAAATAAAATTTAATTAGTAGTATTTGTAATCTAAAAATTGTAGCTAGGTTACTATTTATTTATTTATTTTTTTGAAAAAATATAAACATGTCAATTATAAATTTTTATTTATTTATTATTATTTTTAAAAAAATAGATAATCTATTATACTATTAGTATTTGTTGTAAATGTTAGTTGTTAATTTTGAAAATAATTAAAATAATTTATTTATTTTTTTAAATGTCAACAAGGTCAAACAAATTTTAATACTAATTTAGATCCTAAAATCCTAGATACTATTATTAGATTTTTAATTACTAATAAAATAGTATAGTTGCTAGTTGCTTATACTTACTAAATTATTGTAGCTATGTGGATTTAGTTTGTAACTTGAATTAACATATTGAACAGTTAGGGTAACCAATATGATACCGGCAACCATAGTAAACCCACTGGCCGATTGTACGGCCCATTTACGGTAGCGGAAATTTCTATCACGTTTATTATTATTAGTAATATAATCCATGTCACTTTTATTTTATAGTTTAATTAAATAAATATTTTAAATATTATTATTGTTTATTATAAAGTTTAATTATGTTTATTATTAGTGTTGATATTATTGTTGTTGTAAAAGTACCAATGTAAAATTATTGGATAGAGTTTACAAACTTACTATGAAACATTTTTTGTTGTTTTTACATTTTTAGTTATATAAGTTAGTATTGTATATATTATATTGTATTGTGTGTGTGTGTTTTTGTGATAACAAAAATTATCTTGAAAATAAAAGTTGATAATGGCTATAATAAATATAGTATTAATCATCGTGTACGTGTGTGTGTGTGTGTGTGTGTCATATGATTAAATTGTACATGTATAGTTTAATTTACCTGTTTAGTTAATTGGGGGGGGCAAATTTGAAAAACGGGCCCAAAAAAAAATATTATTTATTTTTATTATTAGTAAATTATAACATTATAACATTACTAAATAAATAAATAAAGTTTATATTAGTTAAAATTATATTATATTATTAAAGTTAATAAATATAAGATTATAATAAAAATAGTAAATACATATCTAATACAATAGTAAAAAATATTAATAAATACTAATAAAAAGTTTTTAATAAATAATTTTTAAGATTTTTTTTTTTAAATAATTAATTTTGTTTATTAATTCTATAATCACTAATATTACTAATATTATTATTACTATTACTGCTATTATTATTATTATTATTATTATAATTATCGGCTTCCGATTGTTCATAACTTGGAGGTCTATCCATATCATAACTATTGCCGACTGCGGCCATTGCGGCTCCGGTAGTATAGATTACTGATGGTGGTGATTGTTGCTGTCCACCAATCGTGGACCAAACACTGGTCATGGGTAGCGCCATGGATGACGGCTGGCCACTGGCCACTTGCATCTGGTGTACAAATTGTCTATTGTTTTGCGGTGCAGTCGACAGGACCGGTAGGTTATTAAGTGCATCGGTGGTAGTGGCAGCAGACCTGGCCCTGGCAATTGCCTGTCTGGTACGCATACGATGGATATCGTAGGCCAACCACAGGGCCAGTCCGGCACAGATCACATAGAGTGGGATCACGACGATTGGATAGAGTTGCCAACCGGACCAAATCGATGACACAATGGTCAGTACGGCTATGAAGACCATTAGTCCACTGTAGGTGACAACCGAGTGGTAGTCTACAGTATACGTACCGTAGATGCTGAGCATCTGTAGCAATATGGCTATTATGCCGACCGATAGCAACCAACTGCGGGCCGTATGCTGTTTGGTTGAGTGTATGGGTAAGTATGTGTGTGTGTGTGTGTGTGTGTGTGTGTGTGTGTGTGTGTGTGTGTGTGTGTGTGTGTGTGTGTGTGTGTGTGTGTGTGTGTGTGTGTGTGTGTGTGTGTGTGTGTGTATATGTGCGTATATGTGTATATGTGTGTATATGTGTGTATATGTGTGTATATGTGTGTATATATGTGTATATGTGTGTGTTTATGTATATATATATATATATATTGTAGCGGAATAATAATAGATCACTTAAAACAATAGTAAATGTACTCAAATTATATATTTAATTACTTATATGTATTGCATAGTTATATGTTTTGACTGCAGTGTATAATGTGTTAAATACATAGTAATATATGAGATTTGTATTCCCATTGAAATAACATTAACGGCATATTTAGTAATAGAAAACACGGGTTTAGTATACCCATAGAAAATACATAAGCGGCACATTCACTATTATAAATATGGGTTTAACATTGCCATAGAAATAACATTAGCTATACTTTAACATACAAACATATAGGTTTAGTTTGTGACACATATAGTGTCAGCAAATGCAGTGACGCACTTGCGTTTCAGTAAATACTATTTAACCATTGGTTTAAATATTTTATATACAGGGGTTAACAAGGGTTTTTGTTTCCTATACTTTAACATTAATGAATTAATTAATTTCTATGCACACTTGTGTATTGTATTTTAATGCAAATGAGAATTTGCCTTTAGGTGGTAGTGTGCGACTGATCAAAAATAGGCAGAGTTTGAATTAACCAATAAGAGCAAAGTAGTAGTGTATTCAAAAGTAGTCATCAAATATGAATGCAGAGTTTAACAGTTTGCGCGCGCAATAGGCAGTGGCTTATGCAGCGATCAGACTGCTGAGCTCTCAGTCGAGCGAAATGCTCGACACAAGTTGTCTTACTCCTGAACTGGTCGGTTGCCGTCACTTTGCTCCGCAATACACTGTAGTGTATTGAAATACATTGTATTAGTTTTAATTTTATGTGTTATCAATAAAACTCGGTTTTGGTATAAGTCCCGAGTAAGTCATTTGGGCCTTTGGCCCGCGCTTTCTCTTTTCTCTCTCTATCTCTCATACTTTCTCTCTTCACTTCATCTCTGGGCTCCCTTGCCGTGTCAGTCTCGTGTTCCCTTCCCGTGTCCATCACCACCACCACTACTCAACATTGGCCAACACAGCACCGCTCAATACACTGGCCGATACAACACTACTCAACTCAGGCCGATACAGCACCGCTCAACACTTAGGCCGTTACAGCACCGCTCAGCTCATTGGTTCATCATAGCCGTCACCGCTCACCGCCAGATCCATACCGTGGTCGCAGATGTCATCACTACTATGGTGTTGGTACCGACTCAACGCTAGGACCGACTAGGACCGACCGACTTTGGTGCCGATAACGTCGAGTCAGCACCGGACACCATAAGCAACCCATCCAACCGTTTCAATATATATATGTGTGTGTGTATAATCATGTATGTGTGGGTAAGTATATGTGTGTATATGTGTGTATATTTGTGTATATATGTGTATATGTGTATGTTTATGTATATATATATATATGGGTAAGTGTATGTGTGAGTATATGTTTGAGTATGTTTGTGGGTGAGTGTATGTGTGATGAGTGGGTAAAAAAATCAACATTAAATTACTGTATATATAATTTTTTTTTAAGTTGAATAAATTTAAATGAATATATAAAAAGTATAAAATATTTTTTTGTTGTTGAAAAAATCTATTTTAATAAATTAATAGCTTTTTAAGATATTATTATAAAATTTTTAATCATAAAAATAAAAAAAATTCAAACAAAAAAATAATTTATACCTTATTTGATGACATCATATATGAATTATTGTTAACAATAATAACCGATAGGCTGACCATAACAATGGTTACCATTACTGTTAGACAATTAAGGAACAGTAGTATACGTTTACATAACCGAAACCCGGGACCACCGGTTTGGGTATTATTATTAGTAGTATTAGTAGTGATGTTAACCATCTTATTAAATTATAATAATTAAATATTTTGTTTTGTTTTGTGTTTATACTTTAGTTTTCAATGTCATTAACAATAAGTTTATTATAATAGGATATTATTATTATTATTATATATTTTTTTGTAATTTTTTATGTTATATGTTATCATCAATTAAACAGTTTTTTGATAATAACCACAACAAGTGATTTATAATACTGTACACAGTATTGTAATCTATAAATATTAAATACAATTGAATTGTAATAAATTATCTTGGTTACAAAATATTTAAGATATTTTTATATATATATATTTAAATAATAACAATTTATTTGGTTTTATCAAGATTAATTTTATAAATTATTAAAATATATAAAATATCAAATACTTGTAATTTAAAATAAAAAACTATAATTTATTCAATTTTCAAAAAAATAAATAATTTATATTAAAAATATTTTTTTTTTATAATGATAAATATGATAAATATATTTTACATTACAATACTGTTAGAACATATTTAGCACAGGTATGTAATACATAGTATGTATGCTGAGCACAGTTAGTTTGATTTAATATACAATAATAATAATAATGTTTATACAATTAGTATTACATTTTTTTTATTCATTAGCAACACTACTATTATTATTATTATTACTACTACCCATTAGTTTGTTGATAACTGGGCAGCCTGTCTACTGTCATAACATGGCTATTGGCTCCGGGATTCAATGGATAGATTCCTGATGATGATGACGACGATGCTAATGATGTTGATGATAGTGTGGTACTCATGTATAGCACTGCTGGCCCATCATTGACCACCAGTGGCTGACCAACGGGCGGTGTCAACGGTATAGTACTAATAGGTATATCCATAGAACATGGTAGTGATGGTGGTAGTGTAGCACCTGTACCACAAACGATAGCCTTGTTATGTGCACCACCACCACCAGCAGCAGCACGTATTTGGCTTAACTCGATCACTATCAGCCACGACATACAGGTGCACACAAAATACAATGCCTGAACCAACCAGTCCAATAACAGTTGAGACCATAGGGCAGCCGAATATATACCCAAACCGGTAACAATGGTAACTAGGAGGCTGTACATGATTATCGTACAATAGTGGACCGTATAGATAGCGCACAGTCCCAGTAGTTGTACTAATAGACCGATTAGACTGACCGATAGTATCCAACTAAGTGCCAGTTCCTTGAATACATACAGTAGTAGTTTTAGGGGATCCATAGATTTTTTTATATATATAAAAAATAGTTAGTTATATATACTGTATTAATCAATATGTATGATAACCCCCCCCCCTTCCCCGCCCATCCCCCTTACCTTTTTGTATGAGTTGGACGGGTAGTTACGATTGATATAGTTGACCGATACGGCCATTACGATAATATTGGCAAATAGTGTGACCAAACAAAATGATTGTAATGTCCGCCTACGGAACAGGAATCCCGGATCCATGAATGGGTTAATATTGTTATTATTATTATTATTATTATTATTAATCATTGTTTTGTATTTATTTAATTATTATTTAATTATCAATTATTAATTAGTATTATTATATTTATTTAATTACTGTATAATTATTAATTAGTGATTATTATTATTATTATTATTTACATTTAATTATCAATTATTAGTATCTTAATTATTATTAAGTAAATAACTACTAATTTTTTGTTGTTTGTTTTTAGTATTTACCACCAAATTATCATTACAAACAAAATATACTAATATAATAAAAAAAATAATACAATATTTTGTTTGTTTGTTTTATCAAATTTTTGTTTTAATTAATTTTATAATATAAAAAATTTATTATTTTTATGTTTTTTTAACTAACATCTAAAAAGCTAAACGTATATTAAATAACAGTATATTTTATGAGTTAATATTTATTTTTTCTTATATTTATTATATTATACATAATTGGTGTTTAGTTAATACAATAATAATAATAATAATAATTAATTAATTTATAGTGTTTTTATATTACTATAGAAATTATCTATTATATTAAATATTATAAAAATTGATAATAATATTAAATTTGACATTTATTTTTATACAGAATAATAATAATAATAATAATAATAAAATATAATAATAAATATATTTTTTTAATACTCTATAAAATATATATATAATAATAAATTAATTATTATTGCTATCAATATTGTTGTTAATTTGTTGCCGCAGTTTGCTGATAACTGGGCGGTTGTCGGGCATACTGGCCATCATCACTGACACTACCGTCACCACTGGCTCCGGGATTTAACGGATAGACTTGACCGCCGCCACCACCAACACTACTACTAGTAGTAGTAGTAGTAGTCGTCGTCGGCTGTATCATCGATAGCGGACTAATCATTTGGATGACACCCCCGTGATTGCCGCCACCAAACTGTGTCGTAGTTGTAGTCGCGGGCAATATAACAGCAGCCGACTGCTGGTGCTGTCCACTACCGATAACAGTAGTCTGGCCGACCATTGTTGCCGCTGGTGTCGTATAGACAATATTATTGGTGGTAGTGCTGCTGATGGTGTGCACCGGTATGATACCTGACTGCCAGGCCCTGGAAATGGCCAGATTCTGGCGCAGCCGACGCAACTCGTAGGCAAACGTCAGGGCCAGACAACTGCACAGTAAGTACAGGCCAGTCAGCAGCCAGTCGGCCGGAAATTCCGTCCAACTAACCGATCCTATACTTACACAGCCAGTGACGACCATCAGTATGCCGTACACAGTGATCACTAGCAGGTGCTCTCTATGAGAGCCGTACAGACCGATGAACTGGAGGGCCAGTCCCGGTATATTGACAGCCAGTTCCCCTTTGGTGGCAGTCTATACATATATACAGTATATATATATAATTAGGACAGTTATCTAAAGTCTAGTACAGTATATACATGTATATAATAAATACCGTACATCTCTATGATCATAACTATAATGATGGCCATTGTTTATATAGTTCATCGATAGGCCGACCACAACAATGCCGGCTATAAGTGTTATACTTGAAAAACATATGACTGTCCTCTTGCGGTACCGAAAACTAGATGTTTTCATTGCATTCACACCATTATTATTGACAATAACGGGTTGATTGGCATTTAAATTATTATTATTATTATTATTATTCATATTAGTAGTAATAGTATTATAATTAGTTTTTTTCTAAAAATATTGTTTTTATATATATTGTTTAGTTTACTTTTTAATTTTATAAAATATAAAGTTAATTATTAAATAATATATTTAGTATCGCATAACTTATAGTATGTTAAAAGTACTCAAAAATTAATTAATTCAAGTTTTACTATAGATATTATCCATATTAATTGATAATAATAAACATTTAATTTTAATATAGTTAATTAGTTAATAAACAAATTTTTTCGATTAAATAATTTTTAAAATAATTATTATTACATTACTTTTATACTATTATAGATATTTATGAAATCAATTCAATATTTACTGAAAATAACCAAAATATTGATAAAAAAAATAATTTTAAATATTAATTTAAAAAAAAATCTAACTAATAATTAATAGTTATAGTTGTAATTAACTAAATAGAAAAAAAAAATTTTTATTTTAATTACTATTTATACTTTTATTTTTTGTTAATTTAAAAACTATAAGTTATATAAAAATAATGTTATTTAATTTTTACAGTTTGCAAATTGTATATAATGTATATTTTTAATTAAAATAAAAATCTTAAATGATTTTAGATTATTAGTTATTTTTTTCATCAATTTTTTTTATTGTTTCAATGTTTTTAATGTGTAAACTATTGTCAAAATTAATTTTGTTTAGTAAATAATATTTTAATCTAAAAATTTTTTTTGAATTAAATAATATTATAATAACTTTTATATGGAAAAAATCGTAGTAATAGTTAAAATTTTAAAATAGTTTTAAAATAGACGTTAAAATAGTTTTTAAAAAAATCACTGTATATTTAAAGATTAATTAATTAATAACAATATTTTTTGTCGGCAAATAGTTAATAAAAAATAATAATAATTAATTATAATTAAATTAAATTTTAAAAATATACTACAAATACAGTATAATAATATTATAACAATAATTGTTAGCATTATTATTAGTATTATTATTAATAATGTTTATTGGTCTCTGATTGTTGATAACTGGGCGGTTGTTCGGCATACTGGCCACGACTGGCTCCGGGATTTAACGGATAGACATGACCACCGCCAGTAGCTCCGGGCTGATGATGATACACTGTCGAAGTGTTGGCCATCATAGTAGTACCACTAGTCGGCTGTATCATCGATACCGGACTAATCATTTGGATGACACCCCCTTGATTACCATATTGTGTAGTAGTAGTAGTCGGCAATATAACGGCCGACTGCTGGTGCTGTCCACTACCGATAATAACAGTGTTGCCCATTGTGGCCGGTGTTGTATAGACAAAATTATTGGCCGTATGAACCGGTATAACACCAACACCGCCGCCGGCAGTGGTTTGCCATAACTGGGCCGCAATGGCCGCATTCAGCCGCAACCGGCGCATCTCGTAGGCAAACGTCAGGGCCGTACAACTGCACAGTACGTAGAGGACAGTCAACAGCCAGTTGACTATAAAATCGGACCAAACGTTTGTACCGATGGACAGACAGGCAAACAGTATCATCAGTAGACCGTAGGATCCGATTGCCTGTTCGTGTTCTCTGTATGAGCCGTATAGGCCGACAAACTGTAGGGCCAGACCAGGTATATGGACGCCCAGTTCCCATTTGGTGGCAGCCTATATATAGATAGATAGATAGATAGTGTGAAATGCATATAATTTATTAGGAGGACAGTTATCTCTAAGTGTATATACAGTATATCAGGGTTGCGAAATGGGGGTAGAAGGGGTAAGACCATCTTACCCCCCATGAACTAAGGTCAAAAAATTTATTAGTAATTTATTGGGAATTTAGTGGGAATTTAGTGGGAATTTAGTGGGAATTTAGTGGGAATTTAGTGGGAATTTAGTGGGAATTTAGTGGGAATTTAGTGGGAATTTAGTGGGAATTTAGTGGGAATTTAGTGGGAATTTAGTGGGAATTTAGTGGGAATTTAGTGGGAATTTAGTGGGAATTTAGTGGGAATTTAGTGGGAATTTAGTGGGAATTTACTGAAAATTTGGCAACAAATTGTCGTTTAAAAATGCAATAAAAATTGTTCACTAACCCCCCCCCCCACCCTATACCCCACAAGCTTTTTTAGAGATTTTTTACATTTAACCCCCCTTTACCCCCCCCCTGAAATTGAAAACCTTTCGCAACCCTGATATATATACAGTATATATATAAATACCATACATCTCTATCGTAACGCATATAATTAATATCATTCATTGCTAGGCCTACAACAATTAGGCCCCCAATAAGTGTTATACTTGAAAAACATATGACTGTCCTCTTGCGGTACCGAAAACTTGATGTTTTTATTATATTATTATTATTATTATTATTGACAATAACTGGTTGATTGGCATTAAAATTATTATTATTATTATTAATAGTATTATAATTCATATTATTATTTTCCATATTATTATTATCCATATTATTAGTATTAGTAATATTATTATTGGATTCTGTATATGAAATGATGCAAAAAAATTAATTAATTAATTGTTATAATTATTATATAAATTTAATATCAATATAACTTTATATATATATATATATATATATATATACAAACAAAATACAAAACTAGTTTTTCTCACACAATATTTTCTATTGTTTTTTATTTTATATATAATAGTTTATTTGATAAAAAAAAATTTTTTTTGATATATCATCATATGTGACTCATAATTAAGATATGTTTTTTATTTTATTAATTATTTACTTATACAATAATTATTTTTTTTTATAAAAAATAATGTTTTACTATAGAAATAATCACAAAATAATTGATAATTTTTTTTAACACATTTGACATTTTAATTGTCACTTAATAATAATAATAATAATATACAGGTATTAATGTATAAACATTATTTTTAGCTTGATAACATTGTTAACCATGATAAAAAATAAAACAATATTGAATTTTTATTATTGATGATGATGATGATGCTACTAATTAAATTTGATAAAAATAAATAAATAAATAAAAGTTGCCAAAAAAATTAATAATAATAATAATAATAACTAATTTTTATCTATATTTCTAGTAATACTAAATATACATATTTATATAAAATTAAATTAAAATAACAATTTATTAGAATTTTTTTTAGAAAATTAAATTAATTTATAAATATATATATATAATAACAGTCATAAATAGTTTTTTAAAAAATGATTATAATTATATAAATTAATTAACAATAATTGTTAACATTATTATTATTTATTAGTCTCCGATTGTTGATAACTGGGCGGCTGTTCGGCATACTGGCCACCATTACTACCACCACCAACAATGGCTCCGGGATTTAACGGATAAACTTGACCGCCGGTAGCTCCGTGTTGATACACATCCGAGTTAATAGTGTTCGGCATCATAGCAGTCGACTGTATCATCGATACCGGACTAATCATTTGGATGACACCCCCGTGATTGCCGACATACTGTCTGGTAGTAGTTGTCGGCATTATAACAGCCGACTGTCCACCGATAACATTGTTGCTGACCATTGTTGTCGCAGCCGGTATTGTATAGACAAAATTATTGCTGGTTGTGTGCACCGGTATAACACCACCAACACCAACAGCACCGGTAGTTTGCCATAACTGGCTAATGGCTTGATTTAGCCGTAATCGGCGCATCTCATAGTAATAGACCATGCTAACACAACTGCATATCAAATACAGTACGGTTAGCAACCAGTTGGCGGCAAACTCGGACCAAATAGCCGATACTATACTCAGGCCGGCAAACAGTGCCATCAGTAGGCCATACCAACCGACTACTTGTTCGTGCTCTTTATGGGCGCCGTACAGACCCAGAAACTGTATGACCAGACCAGGTATATGGACTCCCAGTTCCCATTTGGTGATAGTCTATATTATAATAGTATAGATAATACTTATGTTATATACTATTATACTGTATATATATATATACTATACATCTCTATCATAAAAATGATATTCACTGATATAATGGCCATTAATATAGTTCATCGATAGGCTGACCACAACAATGCCGGCCACAAGTGTTATACCAGCAAAACATAGGACTGTCCTCTGGCGGTACCGATAGGCCGATGTTTTTAACATTGTATTATTCATACCGTCATTATTGATAACAACTGGTTGCGGTTGATTGGTATTAAAATTATTATTATTATTATTATACATATTATTAGTATCAGTATTAGTATTAGTATTCATAATAATTAATTTTTTATTATAGTCTATGTGAATGTCTATAGACTATGTATTTAAATAATAATAATAATACTTAAAATAAATAAATAATGAAAATATATATATATATTTTTAATTTGTTTGATTTTTATGTTATATATAAATTTTTAAAAAAAAATTTACGTTAAAAATATGAGATAATTAATATTTAGTTGCACTTGCTAGATGAAATATTTTTTTATATATTCAATATTAAACTACTTATACTATTGATAATTGTAATTGAAATGTCAACACTAAATACACTAATAGTTATTTATATAATCAAATATTATAATAATAACTAATAGATAGATAAATGCATTTATAAATACTATGGAAACTTTATATTGTAAATTATATATTGATATATATATATATATATATATATTATTTATTTTTTAAAAAATTAATAAAATATAAATATTTAAGATTTACAATTAGTGTAATTTATTTTTTGTTTGTTAGCTATATTATTAACACAACAAAAAACA